CATATTATCAAATAATCGCCATTAAATTAAATTTTTTTTTTATCGTGATTCGTTCCTTGGTAAGTATTCTACCCACATCTAAAATTTAAATGTAAACGTAAAATTCGACAAAATAAGATATATTTCCTGAAATGATATGGTTTAATTTTTAATAAAGCATGAAAAATGCCAGAAATTCAAAGGAGAATCAATGGCCTACGAGAGGGCTGATAAAATTTAAAATGTATATTCTTCAGTGAAAAATCATTAAATATGCTGCAATATGAGAAGAGAGACTCATACTCACAGACGATTTAATCACACTGCCTTCCTACATGTCGGGTTACGGAAATTACTAAACGTGTTCTTAACATAGTATTGTCAAATTAATTAATCGGTACTAATAAATCCCATATACAGTAATGATACATTTATAATTGCATTTTATCGGTATGAATATGTATTTTATTTTTTATTATGTCAAAATGTATTTTGTTTTGCTTCCTTTCAGAAATTAATAGTTTTTTTGAATAATCTTTTGTTTTCGACTCTTGAATATATTCGCGCCCTCCATGGAAGGTTATCAAGCCCCCCCCCCAGGGGAGTGTGTGCTGCATATTTTGTGATACTGTGGAGTAACGAAAGAAATTTACATCGAACATTTGTAATAACGGTAAACTTGGACTATTTTTCTATCTTATATATATATATACTACGGCAGTGTTTTTAAAATTTTCAACATTTTTGAGCCAATTTTCATCACTCTCCTCATACAATAAGAATGTATTGAATGTAAAAGTAATATAATTTAAAGTTCAAGCTATACAATTACGACCTCAATTATAAACTGTACGAAATATTAAGATTAGTATTAAATTTTGTATGTTACCACTAAGTAATGGACATTTTCAGAAATATATATATTTATAAGTAAAATGATAAGTTTGCTGTTATATATTTATATATATATATATATATATATATTCTGCACTGAAAACATTTCGTATATTATCTCCATTTCAATATACTACCTTTGTGATGTCTTCTTTGAAGATATATTATAAATGTCAGCAAAATATAGAAAACGAACTTAGATTGTGAATTTCTTATATTGAACCTTCCTTTGAAAAACTTTGTTCACTGAAACAAACCTATAGGATTCACTGGTAATTATTAAGATTAATCTAAATTTAGTATTGATAAATTAATTATTAAATGCATTGAGAGCAATTCCGACACATTTATAAGTACACTAGCTGGTGAGCCCGTTTTTCGTACGGGTGAATTGAAAAATTGAGCAATACAAATTGAAGGATAAAGAAGTTTTTAATTAGTTTTACGTGAATTCCAAATTAAACAAAAGCTTTTTGCATATCTAAACTGAACAATAAAAAAAAACACGTTTGTTTAATTTTAAGTCTGTACATCTCATAAAAAGGATTATTTTTCATTATAACGCCCCGTAACTCACTTGTGGATTGATTTAAAAAAAAAACACCTTCCTGATCTCTGCTCAGCAAAGTAACACATTGTTACACATTATGAGTAATGAATGCTTAAAATAGGACGCTGTAAATAATTTATATCTGGATGTGTAATACGTTATTATTACTTTCTGTTGTGTTTCTTTAAGTTTAAAACTGTAATATATATTCGCAAGCAACACCGTTCTTTACATTATAATATTGATACAATAGAAACATAGCGAAACGTTGGTGATAGAGCCAAGTTGGCATCACATTTGTTGACCATGTTGGCAACGTGACGAATGAATAAGGGTGCAGAATTTGATATGACGTAGCGAAACTAGGTGGGAAGCTGCAACAAAGAGGATAGCAAAAAAACCTTCTTCACAAAATAAATACGTATACATGCCAATTTTCTTAGCTATCGGTTCAATGGAATTGGAGTGAAACGATGTCATATATACAAACATCCATTTATATATATATAGATATTAAGATTAAATAGAACCTATCCTAACGAAATTTCTCTCTTCGTGGTGAACATGTTGGCAACTTGGCGATAGATTGAACAGTGCAGAAGTTGATATGTTGTAGCGCAGACTGATGGGAATCTGCACCAAAGAGGATAAGCACAAAAGCCTTCTGCACAAAAAAATACATATGCATGCCAGTTTTCATAGTGATCAGTTGAAAGAATTTAGAGTGATGCAATTTTATACATATACAAACATTTTTTTTATCTTTAGATTACATCAGATTTTAAATGTAAATTTTACTCTTTAATATGTCAGAATATATTGAAAAATTTGCTTTCTTTCAGTAAATTATTTATTTAAATAATTCTTCATCTTTGATTTTTCGATATAGTCTCGTGCCCCAAGTAGGGATAGCACGCACCTCTAGTGGGGGATGGGGCATCCCTAGTTTGAGAATCACTCTACTACAATATGTTTTTGAATTTTTCCCTGTTTATTACATGCAATAAATAATTCTTTTTTCCAAATGCTTCTTTTTTAGCTTCTAAGCAAAGAAGTGTGTACTTCCGAAGGATGTGCTTTTAGCCAGTGCTGGAAATCATATGCCAAAGATGGTTTCCAACTATAGACGATGTGGGAAATGTAGCAGAAGGAACAGCAAAAGAGGACTCGCTACATGTATGCAGAATGTGTGATATCCCCTTGTGCATTGAATCATGCTTCTTAACTTTTCATATCAAATAATCGCCATTAAATTTAATTTTTTTTTGACCGTGATTCGTTCCTTGGAAAGTATTCTACGCACATCTAAAATTTATATGTAAACGTAAAATTCGACAAAATAAGATATATTACCTGAAATGATATTGTTTAATTTTTAATAAAGCATGAAAAATTCCAGAAATTCAAAGGAGAATCAATGGCCTACGAGAGGGCTGTGATAAAGGAAAAATTAAAAATGTATATTCTTCAGTGAAAAATGATTAAATATGCTGCAATATGAGAAGAGAGACTCACTCACAGACGATCTAATCACACTGCCAATATGGCGTTGAATGGGCGTTGTGTTTTGGGCATCTGGACTACAAGACAGTCCTCAATCCCATATCATGATAAGTCTATGATGGGGAGCTTGACGAATGTGGGGTTTTCCTTTCTGCTTAGTGGCATGACGGCGATTGGTTGGGCGATGGAATCCGGGAGGCGTGGCTTCAGTACTTCATCTGGGTTGAAAGTTGGTGATATGACTTGGGTGAGAGCTTAGAGACTGCTTTCTGATTGGGTGCTGGGTACAGTGATAAGTGACTCCGATTGGCTGCCCTGGGGGCTGAGATACAGTTCATGGGGAGGCGCTTGTCCAGTGGGAAGAAGGCGAGAAAAAATATTGACTAAAAATTATGAAAGTTAAATAATAGCAGACTGAGATGCAATAAACACTGCCAATATTCCACAGTTTAACTATTATATACAAGCATAAGAATTCAAATGGAATACTGGTAAGGTAATTAATTTTGAAAAATATAAGAACTGTGCAAAATTTTGGTATAATTTTAATTAGAATTTTGGATTCGAAAAGTTAAAAATTATAGGACATAGCGTGGAAACTATAAACTCAAACTCGTCTCCAGCCCATAAGGGCCATGGCGCAATGTGCCCATCGCATTATACCTTTCTCTTGGGCACTGAGGTGCATGAGCAGATGCCCCGATCAGGTGGTCAGTCTGAAGCGAGACCTCCAGTGGTTAAGTCCCCAAGCAAGCTTGGTACTCATTTATCGACCCATTGCAGTAGGGATGAAAGTTTAAGGCGACCTTGCCCATCCCGTGAGTGTAAACTATTCCGATATAGTAAAAATAATTTAACATGAAGCTGAAATATTTTTTCGTGTTAAAGGATATTGCATAATAAAACAATATATATTGAACAAAATTGAGTTTATTAGAGTACATTTTTTGCACAGAAATCTGACTGAAATTTACTGCATTTAAACATTTCCGTAATTTTCTCCTCTTTTTTTTCAAATTCTATTGATAATGTAGCTAGCAATACCTACATATTTAATGGTTTTGATTTTTGACTTCTGTCTGAAGCAGCTCCATCTTCATATTAAGCGAAATAAAAGGTTGCTTTCCCTCTAAGCTCTTCACCGTAGCATTCGTAAGAAAGCTCTTCTGAAATATGGTGACAACAGGAGATTTAACTTTACGATGTATTCGTCACAGAAAGCGAAATGATGAGAGATAAAATGATTTTAAGTGGCATTTATAGGGGTGGAGAGTGTGAAAGTTGCTTAGATAAACAAAATTGACTCTTTAATTATTTTCCCCTGTTTTTTTTTTATTACATGCAATAAACCATTCTCTTTGCCCAACTAATTTGTAGATACCTTGCATATCCGAGTTTGGGTAAGAGACTAAATGCATGAACTGAGAATAAATGTAGTGGGTATTTTTATATCACATGCTTTAAAAAAGTTATCTTGTAAATATGTGGAGAAATGCAAGTTTGAAGTTATATTTTTTAAAGACGGCCGCTATTCAAATTCTTTTTAACCCTTTAGTGGGCCTTGTAATGATCACTTCCCATTTACATAATCTTACAAAATATACCGGTGGGAAGTGCAAAACCCATTATAATTTATAAAACTTAATTTTATAACGCACAGAAGACTAATTCTCGCTTCAACATTTTGTGCTCTTCACATTATCAAGGGATTATGACATCTGTAAATTGGAAAAGGAAAAAAAGATTGTACTAAAGAAGAAATACCTTGTCCAAAAATATGCATAACCATCCTGTACATAACAATGTCATGGGAGAGATTGATCGCTTCGATCCAAGAAAAGAAAGATACCAAATAAGATATGTAAAATGGTGGCATGTCTCGTATCTTTTTGAAGTTATACTTCTTTTGGGGCGTTAGAGAAACAGGATGAGGGTAATTTATATGCGCAGCCACCGTCATGGATGACACATCGTCACGGGTGCGAAAATCCTTTGCCTAGAAATATGCAGAACGTAACAGATCATTCCCGCCTTCGAATTTCTCAAAAATTATTTCTCTTCACTTCCCTGAAGAAGGCAGCATCCGGGTTTGAACCGGTGTCCTCTTGATCTTCAGTCAAATGCTCTACAACTGAGTTATACCCCAGCGTCGAGCGTACCTTTGCTTCGCGTTCTGTAGGAACGGATAAGAAAATGCTTTGTCTAGAAATATGCAGAACGGGACAGATCATTCCTGCCTTCGACCCCCTCCCCATATTAATGATCCTATTGTCTCAGTGCGGGGGTGTTTAAATTTATTTAAATTGTGATTATATTAGGTTTGGCTGGTCCGATTGACTGAAGGTTAGTATTGTTCAACTCTGTTCGTGATCGCCCTTCGTCCTTGGCGCAGCTTGTCCCACTAAAGAATTTTAGAAAGATTTTAATCTTGTTACGCCAAAGAAGTATAACTTCATACATGCGTACATAAGTACACACAGACTTTTATTTTTATATTCTTTTTGACTATGCGATCAAAAATAGTTTCCTAGTGGGGCAAGTGAACTAAAGAAACAGGAAGTTTAGATCAGCTAACATTCCGTATACCATTAGCTCGTCAACTATAATAGATGGATATTCTGCAAGAAAAAAAGGAGAGGACATTCTGCTAGCTTCTAAGCAAAGAAGTGTGTACTTACGAAGGATGTGCTCTTTACTAGTGTGGGAAATCATATGCCAAAAAGGGTTTCTAACTATAGACGATGTGGGAAATGTAGCAGAAGGGACAGCAAAAGAGGACCCCCTACATGTATGCAGAATGTGATATCCCCTTGTGCATTGAATCATGCTTCTTAAATTTCATGTCAAAAAATCACCATTAAATTGAAATTTTTTTGACTGTAAATCGTGTGTTCCTTGGTAGGTAATCTACCTACATCTAAAATTTAAATGTAAACGTAAAATTCGACAAAATAAAATATATTTCCTCGAACGATATTGTTTAATTTTTAATAAAGCACTATAAATTGCAAGAAAATTAAATTAAAATTCAATGGCCCTCGATAGGGCTACTAAAGGTAAATTTAAATAAGTATATTCTTCAGTAAAAAACGACCAGATCGTCTGTATTATGAGAAGAGAGACTCATACTCACAGAAGATCTAATCTCAATGTTCATGTACCACAGTTTACCTTTTATATACAAGCATACGAATTCAAAAGGAATACTGGTAAGTTAATTAGTTTTGAAATATATAAGTGAACTGATGGTGTGTGAAAAATTTTCGCATGATTTTAATTAGATTTTGATTTCAAAAATTTAAAAAATTCCGAATATAATACAGTGAAAATCTTTTAACACGAAACTGAAATATTTTTTCACGTTAAAGAATATTGCATAAAAAAACAAAATATATTGAACAAAATTAATTTATTAGCACATAAATCTGGCTGAAATTTGCTCCGTTTATTCATTTCCGTTTTTTTCTCTCTTTGTTTCAATTTTTGTTGATTAATGTAGTTAGAAACACCAAATTATTTAAAGGTTTGGAATATTGTTTTCTGCCTGAAGAAGCTCCATCTTCATTTTAGGCGAAAAAGATGTTTTCTTTCCCCTACGTCTCCGCCATTGTAAGCGTAAAACAATTCTTCTAAAATAGAGCGACAAAACGGGAGCTAACACTGCGATGTATCCGTATGATGACTGATAAATTGTTTTGATTAGCATATATAAGGGTGGAGGGTCAAAGTTGCACAGATAAACAAAATTGGCTCGTTTGACAGATTACTCCGTATGTATTTCAAAACCAAGTTTGCATTCTTTCTGAGTTATGGAAAACCACCTCTTTTTCATTTCACACTCCTCTTAATTCTTGCTTTGGTGGCTGGTGTTTTCCGTATTTTGTTCATTCCTAAAAATAAATCTTTCTTTATTAAGTGATTTTCGGTTCGCGTTAAGGAAAAATAATGCATGCAATTACATAACCGATATTTAGTCTTAAGCGTTTTCACGTTAAACTTATTTCACTGTACTTATGTTCAACTTTCGAAATTTTGTAAGTTAAAGAGACATAGTACGATTTACACTATTTTTTTAAATTTATTGATTTTCATAGTTTGTTTGATTGCCTCCAGTGTGTATGTATGATGCGAAACACAAATTTTGTGCTCAGAATTTCATAAAAAGTTAATAATTTAATTTTTTAAGGTAAAAAATTTGAAATTTATGAAATGATTTTAAATTGCTGCTCCTCCTAGAAAAATTGATGTACATGTATGAAATTTGATTTACAAGTACGTCAAACCATGTATAAAAAAAGTTGGTATGGCTTTTGCTATAACATGATTGGTATTTATACAATACTTCTTTTTATAAATATTTATTGAAAATTGATTAAACATTTGTGTAAATTCTAAATTCAATTATTTTTTAAAAAATAAGTATTGCTTTTATTGAAAAATGTATATGTAGTATATACATAGACGGATATATACGCTGACGGCATTTAAGTTGTCAAAAATATTTATCTTCACTTTCTCGAATACTGACGAATGCAATTATCAAAAACATATACAACGTGTCCGAAAAATATTGTACCTTTTTTAAAATTTTTCTCTAATTTCTCCGAGGTACTATTGAAATGTTTTATTGTACCAGAAGTTAGGTAATATGTCAAACATTTTATTTTGTACTAAAGTTGTAACTTACAAAGCTTTCATATGGGCAGATGGCAGATATCTAGGCGATACTCCATTTAGTTCCATACTCGCACCAACATGTTTCTTGTAACAGCAGAAAAATAATGCCATATGTTTCTTTATTTTTATAGGTACCCAGTGTGTGTAGGGAAGGGAGAAAATTGGCCTGAAAGCTGATAGATTCTCCAGGCATTGAAACATCCACCTTTTATGTGCCAACCAAACCTCAGAAGGCATTTTGTGCGGTGTGTACGCAAAAATAATGTCTGAACCACAGTTCAACGCAATTTTCGGGACAATTGCGGGTCGATCCCCCGGGAAAAAGAACTTAATTTTACGTTGGTGGCACAACAAATGGAACAGGTTGTTTTCCAAAGCAAAAACACCGGAACCCCAACAGGAACGTTGATTGGCGCCCAATTCCTTGTAGGTCAGTGTTTCCCAAACTTTCAATATTTGCGCCCCAATATTCAATCATACTTTTTTTCTTCCAAACAAATAAATAGAAAATTAATTCTTACTTTGACCCCAAAAGGTATAATAGACTTTTCCTTTTAACAGCGTATAAACCCTTTTTAACCCTTTAAATTTTTGGGACTATATAACGTTTTTTCGAATATGATTTTTTTTCGCACTGCTATCCATAAAATTTTTCTTTGTAATGCAAAAAAAGGGAAATCGACAGTGTTTGAAGGATTTATTTTTTATCAGAGGTTTTTATTTGTTCATTTTTTCCCCCCCTCCCCACCCCATACGCCCCCTTTACGTGGAAAAGGGGCTTTGGGGGGCGAATGCTAATTTTTAACCGGCATTGGGATTTTTAAAAAACCGTACAAAATTATCAAGATAAATTTTTTAATTTTTTTTATAATTTTTTTTTTAAAAACAATCGGGGGTCATTGGGAATTATAAAACTTGTTCTAAACTGGTATATTAAATTAATTATAAAAAAATTTAAAAGGGGACTGATACAGTTTTAATGTATTATATGGAAATGTTAATTTTTTTTTTTTTTTATGTAAAAAGATTTTGTTTTTTTTACTTTCGTAAATTAATATTTTTAAAAAAATATTTTGTTTTCGATTTTTTTTGTTTTATTTCAAATCCCTTAAAAACCAAAGCAAAAAATGAATTTTCATTTAAATGTATTATAGAAAATTTTAATTTCGAACGGAAAGAATGGATGTATTCAATTGCTGTAAGTAATACATTGAATTTTTTTTAATTTCGGGGTATAAAATACCCCCATTTCTCTTTGAGATTTTTTCAATTTCCCGCCTCCAAAAAATTTTTGGGGTTAACAATTTACCTGCCTAACGAAACTAACCATGACATTTACTCTAAAAAACTAAAAATTTTGGTTTTTTTAATCGATGATGCAATTTTTCACACCTGGTATTTTAGAATTTAACCGATTTTTTTTAATTTTTTTTGAAAAATATTCACTAAAGTAAATATTTTGAGAAATTTAATGTTTTCGGATGAAAACCAAACAAAGATTAAATTAAAAACAACAAGAAGCCTGCATTTTTCAAGAACAGTACAATATTATTCTAATTTTTGCAATCGAACTTCTTGTAATAACTTCATTATTTTTCATTTAATCCTATTTATAAGAAGTTTACATTAAAAAAAATTCAAGCTATCATATTTAATGAAATCATAATCATTATTCGTAATTCATCATATATTTAGTGAAATATATTTTTATTGCTTCGTAAATAAATTCTTCGTAGCATTTTTTTAAAACACAACTTATTATTATTTTTTATCTTGATATTACACTAATACTCACAGTGGATGCAAAATAAAAATAATCGAGAAAAAACTTAAAATAAATGGAAGCCAACGTTTCGTTAGACAAACAAATTCTTTAAAAAAATGGTGGTTAGAGATATTTTTAAAATCTTATAAAAACTATTAACAAAGTAAACTACTCTTTTAATAATTGTGTGGTGTTAAATACAATCTGTAGTTAACAGTTTGAAATACTGGTAAACGTAAAAAGCGAATCATCCTCACTAACAATTGAAGCCTGATAAGTCTTGCACTTTATATAATAAGTAGAAGTAAAGAGAAAAAAAATAAACCGAATTGTGATGAAGTATAAGTTTTACAGAAAAAAAAATATGTGTGGATATTTTAATACTTTTTATCACAAATATAAGGTAAAAGAATTTTAAAATTTGCGATAAATGAAACAAAAAAACGAAAAATGAATTTAAATGAAATTATCAACATCGTTTTAAGATTCTTCAGCTTTTCGTATATAAGCTTCATTTCGAGGTTTGTATGACAGAAGTGAAGAGTTTATGGTCATGATCTTCTAGTTTTATTCTGTACACTTCTCTTTTTTGAAAACACTCTTAATTTAATACAATGTACCACGTGGGTATAATTAAACTTACCCTATAAACTGCAACCTACAGCACAAAAGGGTGAACGGAATTCAATGAAATTTCATATAT